TTTTTGCATCATTACTCCAGGCTTCAGTGTCACATTATCCTTCAGAAATCATTATAATATTTGGATTTTTTTTCCAGGACTCTGATGAACAGAAAGTTCAAAAGAACAGTATTTATTTGAAATATAATCTTTAACATTATACATGTCTTTACTGTAACTTTTGATCAATTTAATTCATCCTTAATGAATAGTTTCTTTTATTTCTTTCCCCCCCAAAAAATAAAATATAAATTATTACAGACCCCAATTTTCTCTTTCAGATAAATACTGTTCTTTTGAACTTTCTATTCGTCAAAGAATCCTGAAATAAAACTCTAAATAACTCTTTTCAACATTGATAATAATGAGAAATGTTGAAGACTGGAGTAATGATGCTGAAAGTTCAGCTTTGATCACAGCAATAAATTACACTTTACTATATATCACATAGAAAACAGCTGTTTTAAATCATAATAATATGTCGAAATATTATTGTTGTTTTTTATTATTTATATTAATCAAATAAATGAAGCCTTGGTGAGCAGAAGAGACTTATTTTAAAAACATAAAAAATCTTACCGATCCATAACTTTTGACTGTTACTGTAAAAGGAAGACATTTACACATGCACACACACACACACAAAAAAAACATAAAGCTAGCATAACTGCAAACAATCACACTAAAACAATTAGAGGAGGAATATTTTTATGACTGGAATATCAGATACTGTAATTTTGTGTAATTACAACACGTAAAAAACAATTTTGACAAATATATAGAATATGCCAGTAGTGCTCAATCAATTAGGATGCGCATTTGAATGCCACGCTACAGACAGAGACCAATTACAATCAGCACACTTTGATACTTTTTGCTCTCTCCGAGTGTTACTCGCGGCGGTGCTTTGACTGCTCATTCACTCGAGCATCGTTCACTCATGAGCATTTTACCATCACACACGATTACCATTTGTAACGCTTTTGGTGAAGAGAGAAAAAGGAATTGCCGATAGCTAAAGTCTGTCTTCCTTGATTTATTGTTGACATGAATGTTGAAAGAGTGCTTGTGTTTGTGTGTGTATAAAGGAGAGAGAGAGAGAGAGAGAGAGAGACAGACAGAGAGAGAGAGTGTGTGTGTGGTTATCACCGGGACACTGTTTCAAACACTATTTGTCACAGTGAGATCAAAGAACTACTAAATTATCCTCAAAGGTATCCAGCTGAATCATGGAATGGTTCATTATAAAGATTTGGATCTGCATCTGGAAGACGTCTTAATGGGGTAGTGAAATATGAAGCTTCATTATTACAAATACAGTGGCCAAATGGAGTCGTATGAAGTAACGCTGATAACAGTGGCCTGGTGTGAGTGCCGGTGCGTTTGTGCTCATACTGTGAGGTGCATTGTTAAAGATGAGGATGTCAAAACATTGTGTGTGAGCACTTTTTGTAGGCATGAGTATGTTGTGAGGTGTCAGGGTCGTGTGGATGACAGCCTGCCTGCTGGTGAGTTTTCGAAAGGTGCAACTCTTTCTCTAATTGCACAATTAAACATGTAAAACTCATAATTATGATACTCACAGAAAGCACAGTAGTTTGTACATGTCATATTCTAAAATTTCAGCTTTAAGAATTTGGGTGTTACTGAATTTTCAGGTTTAGTATTTATTGTGTGTGTGTGTGTGTGTGTGTGTGTGTCCTGGTAAACCCTACATTATGTGGACAAAATGTCCCCACAAAGATGGCAATTTTTAAAATCCTTGTCTTTGAAGGGATATTTTTTTTTTTGGTCTCCATGATGAAACCAGCCTATAAATCATACTGTGATGACGTTTTTTTGAATATGTAAAAATGCAGAAAGTTTTCTGTAATGAGGATGGTTTAGGGGTAGGGTTAGTATTAGGGGATAGAATATACAGTTTGTACAGTATTCCATTATGTCTATGGAAAGTCCCCCAAAAAAACATGAAAACACAAAGTGTATATATATATATATATATAATAAAATTTGGAAAAGATTATTATTAAAATGTTATAATAGGATATATGATTAAAGCTTTTTATGCAATTAAGTAAAAGTTCATTTTATTTATTGCCGTAATTTCCATGTATTGTAATTGCAGCGTAAAAGTTGTCATTGCTTTAATAGTCTTTTTTCCCGAATGCATGTTAATGGATTTTTAATAGTAGCATGCCTTTATTTGTAAGACATGAAAGGAATTATAAGCCCTATCCATCTTACGTTCAAGAACAGAAAATCTCCCAGACGAGCTTAAGAAAGAAAAAGAAGAAAACTAAAGGAAAACCAGAACAAGAGACTTTTCCTACTTCTATGCGGTAGACATTGCTCTCTTTATTGAAAGATGACATTTAATCAATGGCCATCTCTTTAAATGGCATTCATTTAATTTGTGGGCTAGCCAGGCACGGCTGTCCTCTTCCCCATTCTTTGTGTGTCTGTGCGAGCGGATGACGTAACCGTGACACGCCGCGGCACACATACACTATTGATTACACTCAACACATCTTGGCAATTAAGAGATGGCAAGGTAGAGTAATAAAGGGTCATTAGTGAGGCATGCTTGTGAACCCTCATCAAAGGTGATGTCGCCGGCAGGGGCGGAGCTCCCGCAGGGTCGCCACGGGGGCTCGTTGCATTTGCATATCTGCTCGGAGACGCACTGTGGCTGACCCCGTGGCTGGGATCAGTATGAGTCGCTCTTGTCGATCAGGGGTTCATCACAGGTTCAAGGTAACAAAAAGTGAACCCTTCGTCTTTAATTGGTCCTGGAATAGAAAAAGAAAAAAACAAAGAAGGAGAGACAAATAAAAGGTTAGTTGGGAAAGGTGAGGGAGCCTGGAGTGGAGGGAAAGTAAAGGCTGTGTGCTCCAAATTGGGTATGAATTATAAATAAGAGCAGTGGAGGCAATGTCTTCTCCTCTAGAGTGGTGTTGTGCCAGGACCTACACCACTAAAGAGATTGTTTGGGCAGCAGGTATCGACTCGCTGATCGTCAGCTTGGTAAACTTGACCTGAGGCACTGATCATTGGCCGAGCTAGAAAGACTCAACGTTCTGATACACACACACACACACACGCATACCTCTTTCCCATCTCACCACAGCTATCTTCATCAATACTTCCCAGACTAGGGTCAATGTAATAAACATGGAGGTCAATATCATGGCCATCTGAGTACACTTTTTGGCATGGGCCTTAAAGTTGGTCTTTAATTGGATCCCTCCGGGCAAGTTCATGCACCAGTTGCAATGTGGAGGGAAAAGAATGAAAAATCGTGATTGAGGAGGGGAAAGCACATCAGTTTGATCCTCTTTGTTCCACAGAAACTGACGCAGACATATATCAAGGCAGTCGCAATCTTAATTGATCAAAATGGAATTAATCTAGCCGAAGTTCTATCCATGCTTTCTCACAAATAGCACAATAAATAAACAGACTAAATGTACTTCTTTCGGTGCTTTCGCCCCGCCAGACGCTATACCTGTCTGAAAGTGCTGCATTATGAGGACTGTGAAAGGCTCTTGCGGGACTTTGAAAGGTCTGATGAGGACTTAAGGTGTTCATGTCACTTCACCTGGATCCAATGACCCAAACATGGGAATTCTTTAACCCGCTGCCACTGCGGGAAAACTGAGCCGTTTTGTGGATTAACTGATAGGTGTATCAAACTCAAGAGAGAGAAAATGTAATCTTCCATGGATAGTAGCCATTACATCCATTGTCTCTAAGTGCACAGTATCTTAATAGATGGAAACCGTTGTTTCGGTACACATAGCACATGACACCGAGTCCAAAGATTTTGCTTGGCAACAGACGCACTAAAATATTTAGAGTATGAATGGTCCTCACATATCTTTCATAATCTAAGTGCCCTAGAGACCTCAGTAGGAAGTGTTAAAGGTTTACCTCGGCCAAAAATGCTGTCATCAATTACTCACCCTTATGTCTTCCAAACCTTATGCAGAACATAGAAGATGTTTCAAAAATGTCTTATTGTCCATACACTATCAGGAAAAGGTGTACACAAATTGCACCTTTGGGGGTACAACAGCTTGTCACTGAGGCAGACCTTTAAAATGACAACTTTTTGACCCCTAAAAGGTTCTTAGTAAGGGTGCTACTCTGACCCCTTTTCCACCAAAAAAAAAAAACTGGTTCGGAACTGGTGATGGTTCAAAGTTGGTTCGGAGTTGGTTCAACGTGCGAACCTTTCCAGAACCTGTTTGTTTTTCCACTGACTAGAGCGCCCAGGGAATGACGTTGTTACGTAAGTGTGTATACGTCTTAGCTAGAAACGCTTGCAAGTACAACAATACTTTGGGATTATCTCTAACTTGTGAACCAAGAAGGCTTTAAAAACAATTGAAATATCTAAGTCTTTCAATCTTTTCGTTTGATATGTAATCTTTTCTGATTATTTGTGTACCCCTGTCTTGTGTCTTTTTTTATTTCCATTTATTTATTCTATATTATGACTGTTTTCTTCTTTGCTTATAATGTTTTAAATCAAAAAAATTTAAAAAAAGAAACGTTTGCACCAACTTCAAGCATAACAATTACAAAGGCTCCACCTTGTTTCTGCAACTGTTTCTCCTGGCTTTGCGATCCTATATTATGGTCAGAAAAGATGTTTAGAACACATCTAAACCCGCCCCAGCCCCCGGCGTAAGCGTGACGTGGTAAAAGAACGGTTCTAGTCCAGCAAAGATTTGGTGCCACTTTGGAACCAGTTCTCCTGGCCGAGAACCGGTTCTTTGGCTGTCGAAACACAAAGAACTGGTTCGCGCACAGGCACCGGCTCCGAACCAGCTCTCAAAATGCTTTATTGGAAAAGGGGTATCTAAGCTCCTTTTTTGCAATTTGTTTCTGACAGTGTACAAAGTAGGGTTAGGTTTAGATTCCAGAACGTCTTCTTTTGTGTGAATATCTTTACTGTGATTATAAACATTGTTATCTATGTGTTTTTCACATCCACCCTGCCGTTCTGTGCTTTGCAGGAACCGAGAAGCACGAGTTAACATCATGGAAGAGCTTCCAGTCCATCTTCAAGTTCTTTAGCAATGCTCTCAAGGACCAAGAGGATGATTCCTCCTCCAGCCCGGTCACCACACGCAGCTCCCACCGTATAAAACACGACGACTTATAGAGGGCTCACAGATCCCACAGCCCAGCTTTGTCAACCTCTTAGTTGCTTTTCTCCTCTGTTCTTTTATGAAAGATATTCCTCCTTGAAGTCCTCCTCCCAGTGTATTGTAACTCTGAGGAGCGCAGGGTCAGCATGTATACATCAGAATAGCGTTTTGCGTTACTTCTGGATGAGTGCAACTGTCAAAGCAATATGGCTTCACTGCTTGTGCCTCCTGTGGGCCGCTGTGTGGATTTGGTGGTGGCCCATCGGTGGCCAGATTAAGGCTGACAGGCGGCGCCGCACACCGCCTCTTGATGCACCTCTAATTATCCTGACATTGTCCTGAACTGAGCTAATGCCTGGGAAGCACCTGCACACACACACATTTCTGGCAGGTCCTAGTGCCTGCCTGCAAAGTCTTTGTATTGATTTCCCCCCACATTGTTTCTTTTTGACCGGGATCTTTCTTGCTTTTAAAATACTGGAGCGCTTAGGAATTTTGTATATCAGATGCTAAAGGCTTACGGGTTGTTTGTTCCATACATATAACTTTAACTGGGAAAAAGCAACTTGCCGACTCACCCATCCATTCAATGGCTATCTTGAGACTAGATTAAGAATGAACACAATGAAGTAAGCCATTGACAGCATGACAGATTTAAAGAATCCTCCTCTGTTTTTAAATCCCTTAAAACCTTATGCGAGCATGAGTTTTAGGAATATCTCCCATTAACGGAGCCGACTTGTCAGTCTGGGAATATCTTATGCGCCAGGATCAGGGAGATTTAATGTTTTCCAAAGTACAAAAGCCATTCCTTGAGGTATTTGCCAATTTAACCTGCCCTTTTTTTGCTGAGTCAATGACTATTCGGACTGTTTTAACACCTCACTGTCATCCTCTGCTAAATACTTGATGTTACTGTCTCAGCCAAGACAAGAAACATTGTCTCCTGGACAATGTGGTATTAGCAGAGGCTTAAAGATATGTCGCTCAGGCATGTCAACAGATCACTCTGCTTTAGCTTGAAAATGAATCTCTCAGTAAGGCCTCTGGTCTCATCATTTTTAAAACTAGAATTTGTAATTGGTTATTTGGATTTCTCAAGTTATAAGCATTGTAAATAGTGCTTTATGCATATTTCATATATTATTTTTATCCAAAATAGAGATGTAACTACAATGGAAGAAATGCAAGACCCCAGATGCTTTCATGTTTTGAAACTATTTTTACAATGAATTCAACTTTTAATATACCTGCAAATATTCATTAGATGCCACTGATCAACTGCAAGTTGCTTATACTGTTTCGTTAAAATTGCTTTATCCCAATATTGTTGCCTTAGGAAAACACACACAAATTTTATCTTTTACTCTTTTTTTTTTTTTCAAGCGTAGACTGACAAGCCATATGTGAATGTCACTCTCGCGCTAAGTGCAGCCTTAAACCAAATCGAAAACCTAATTGGTTTGCAAATTAGGACTCATTTTAAACAATAATATTTTAATCGACGAGATTCTATGTTTTTTAAAAAGCATTTTAATCACTCTGAAGAATTGTGTTGTTTGTTCCACAAGTGTAATTGTTTTAAATTGTAGGCTATAAATAAGTTTGATTAGCTTTCGATGGGAATGCATTCAATGAAAACATGATGTTACTTTAACTTCACTTTTCATAAATCGTTCAAATATGTTAGTCTTTCGTCTTTTAATTGATGGCAGTTGTGTGCCCTGATTACTCGTTCACTTCATTTCCATATAATTTGAGTGTAATAAGGATCTTCATACTTTCTGTAATTAAATAAAATTCTTTATAAAAAAATTGCGTAACGATATTTGATTTTAATTGTTGCAATAAGTGTCTTGTTTTTTATCTATTTATCTGTACTTAATAAAACATGTAAAATAACATGCACCTTTGCGAGCCGCTTGATAGACATATCTCACCTTGCACTTAAAGACACCGATGCACAGGGTACTCTTATTTACAACGTAATGATCGTAAAGGCATCACTTTCAACCCAAGAAGTTGTCGGGTTAAAGTTCAACCTGACGGGGGAAAGATCCTCGGAGCCCGATAAAGCCTGTTGCTCCAGCGGCTCTCCTCTCAGCTCTGTTCCCAGGGAAGGTGAGCCTGCTCGGAGAATGACTCGCTCTTCTCACGTATCAGCGGTGGAACTCTATCACGAAAGTTGATATCTGTGTCTAGATCGAGCCGAGCCCTTTACAATGAGACCAATGTTAACCAAAATAAGTGTCAGTCAAAGACAGAGAAGTATCGGATGAAGCCATGTCTATAGCACCTATTTTTTTTTTTTTTTTTATTATTTCAACTGCTTTTTTTAGACCTTAACTCGTGAAACCCGCGGAAATTAAATCCCAAGAGATTAACGAAAATTAAGGATGAAAATGAGCTAGGAGAAAATCATTAGAAAATTAAATTCGCGGTTCGTTTCAAAGAAATTAGATGAATAATATATATATATATATATATATATATATATATATATATATATATATATATTGCTGTATAGAAATGTTGTTCAAGACTATTAAAGTGGTGTAACTATAAATAGCCTAACTTTTCATGTACTTTTTCCAAATGTAAACAAAACAAAAAAGTGATATATATGGCTTTTGTCCACTTTATTTTATAGTTTTCTTAACAAAATGTCTTATTGCATGTTTTGTTGCTTCACATTGACTTTGGGTAAAAAGTTTTCACATCATAATAATTTAAAAACAAAATGTTAAGTTTTTTGTAAGGAATAATGAAGTTAACATTTATTTTGTAACTAGCTTTTTGAAGCAATTTTACTACAATTAGGACAGTTGTATCAAATAAACTTCTCCCCACAAAAAGTCTTGTAATTCAGAAATAAATATACAGAAGTGTTTTCAAGTCATATGCTGAATGAATATATTTTTTAACTGGCATTTTTGAGTAATTTAAGCGACGCGCCATTTTGGCTATACAATAGTTGCATAGTAATAAATGGAAATAAAAACTTCTGAATAAGCATATACGCTGTGCTCATAGCTGCAGTGATAAACTCAAGCCATGAAGATATAATTTCTATAACATAACACAATATCACACAAATAGAATTTGCAAAAATTCCACATGCAGGCTAAGCGTTCTCTTACTTCTTTTCCAAACTAGTTTTGTAATGTTTCCTAATTGTTTTAACACCGCTGAAATTTGTAAAACCTAAGTGTGTCAGCTGTCGGTGGGATTTGTGCAAAACGAATGAGCAATGACTCTAAAACTTAGTATATCTCACATTAGAATTGTCTTACTTTAAACACCATGTGATGTGTTCATTTCATTCTCAACACTTTTTGTCATCACACTCCCTTCCACAAGAGTGACACTTGACTGCAAAAATAACGTTGTGTGTTTGAAGTCTATGACGTCCTTGATTGATATTTCAATTTTATCCGTTTTGTCACACACGCTCTCGTCTCCTCCCATTCTCTCATGCGCCGCCAAATATGAACTATTCTCAAAGAGCCGAGCACTTGCTGAAGCTGGACTGTCACTCCTCCGGGCCCTTGTCTTCGGGACTACTTCACCAGATCGCTGTCAGATCTCTATTTGCATAATTATATGCTCGGTTCTGAAGGGAAATCTAGCCCCCAAATTTTACGGGTCAGCAAACCGCAACAATCGATGTTTTATTGTGTCCGGTAGAAGAAAAAAAAATACAACTCGCTCTCAAATTCTCTCTCTACCACTTCAGTATCTATCTATCTATCTATCTATCTATCTATCTATCTATCTATCTATCTATCTATCTATCTATCTATCTATCTGTCTGTCTGTCTGTCTGTCTGTCTGTCTGTCTGTCTGTCTGTCTGTCTGTCTGTCTGTCTATCTATCTATCTATCTATCTATCTATCTATCTATCTATCTATCTATCTATCTATCTATCTATCTATCTATCTATCTATCTATCTATCTATCTAAAATATGTCTGTCTCCCGCACTGTCCATTTTTGATTGATTGCTATTAGTTCACTTAACACACATACCCCACACACCCTTTTTCACCCACACGCGCGGGCGCGCACGCACTTTGGCGCTCACTGGAGCTCCGGTAATGTGTCATGAGAGTGGGAGATGGTTGGGGTGATCACGCCACACAGAACTGGACAGCTGCTGCTGGCAGAGGCTTGGCTTTTAATGATTTCTTTCAGGTTTCTGCCCCCCCCCCCCCCCTTCTTTCTTGGATTCTGATATTTTTTAGACAAAGTGTGTGTGTGAAATTGAGTGAAGCACGTTGCACAAAATGGATCACACGCCTCTTTCTGAAAGGGAAAAGGGAAGGCAACTTTCATTAAGTTATGTGAGGATGTCATAGTATGCAAGAGTAGACAAAAAACGCAGAGATTGAATTTGTCCTGTGTTGCTATGCAGTATTTTTGGAAACACTTGCTCGAATTCTTGCGTTTTGAGAGTAATTGTTGTAGTCTCAAATCCTGGGATCTCAGGTGCTTCATTTAACACGCTGACAGATCCGTTGGGAAAATAATAATAAATACAATAAAAGAGGGATATTTTTCTGGATAAATATTGCACTGCTCTTTCTTGGACAATGATAAACGGACTTTGGGATTCAACAATATGAGCAGGCGCCCGCATAAACTGATTTCAGCGCAGGTCAGAGAATATAATGTTCTGAATTCAGTTTATGTGATGAAAGGGAATTGCGAGAAGGCATCAAAACAATTATTAGCTCCGAATCAACTTTTATGTAAAGATAAATTCCCGTCAAATATATTATGCGTCATAAAACAGGACAACGAATGAAAGAACACGGTCCATCTAAATCTAAAAAAAAAAAGAAAAAAATGTTTTTTTTTTTCTTTCCCCTAAAGTGCAACGCCTGTTGGCATAAAGCTAATATTTCAATTGTAGGATTTAATATATTTTACTAACGTTAGCATAAAACTGTTGCAGGACAAATTAAAAATTAAACATGACACGAAAACTGTTTATTCTCAGATGTCAGTTATCCTATAACGCAATGGCAGTATTTACCAAATTAATTGAATCGTTGTTGTATTATTATCATTGTTATTATTGTTGTTATTATTATTATTATTATTATTATTATTATTATTATTATTAGGCTATTCTATCGTCGTTTCTAAATGTAAAACAGATGTTTGACCTGATCTTTAATAGGTTTCTATAAAGTTGACAAATAATTGTAAATTAGTCTAATGGTATTAGTAGCCTATTATAATAATATTATATTAGTATTAATATTGGTATTAGCATTTATAATGTCCATTTTGCCCATTTAACAGTTGCTGGCTGTGACAGGTTTGAAACATAAGAGGGTTAGTTAACTGCAGTGAGGCCTATATTCTTTAGCACGCATCACTATAGGTCCTGTAGTCCCACACTTGTCTAAAAATATTTCTCGCCACTCAGTTCTTAATAGGGGGCTTTAAGAGCAAGGGCCAGAAGACCTGGACTTAAATCACTTGGTTAAGGTCACATAAGTAACCGGAGCGCTCGGAGCGTTACAACCTGTCATTTTACAGCTAGAGATGGAATTCCCACATAGGGTGCCAGGCGGGTCACCGTGATATCCAGCGACCCAGGGTTAGGACACGATAAAACCTGATCCTCTCTAAACAACAAGAGGCCTTTTCAATGAAACCAGGCAACAGTGCCTTAAAACTCTTATTATGCACTCTCCTCTTGATTCTGTGTTATGTGAGGTTGGAGGAATGGCTGAAGAACTCTTCAGTCAGGGCTTGAGAGTCCGTTGCGCGCGGGTTTGTCTCGTCAGAAGCTTATAGGTATTCAATCACGCGTTATAGATGAGTCTCATCAAGCTTAACGGGTTCCTTGGAGGCTAAACACATTGGTGCACGGTGCTGGTTGCTCCCACCTGAATAACCGGCGCGTTATTGCACAGCGCATCCTCATTAAGAAACGCCCCAAAAGATGAGGCTCTAAATTAAGTTATTGCCATCCAATGAACCCAAATTAGCGAGGCCACAGAGGTGCCCGTCTGACGGACTGCCGTTAAAAACAGCCTGACAGGCTACAAGGTAGACAGGGGAGAGTGTATGAGTGTGAAGGTGTGATATATATATCGCACATATATGGGGTGATAAAATGGATGAATGGGTTTCCATTAATTGGCTGCAGATTCGTGGCTGCACACTCAGGTTTAGGCCGTGTCTACCTCTCCTAAATTCTGTGCCGTGTCTCGCGCTTTTAGAGTGTGCTGTTCATACAAAATAGACTGCCTCTCTCTCTCTCTCTCTCTCTCTCTCTCTCTCTCTCTCTCTCTCTCTCTCTCTCTCTCTCTCTCTCTCTCTCTCTCTCTCTCTCCCTCCCTCCCTCCCTCCCTCCCTCCCTGACAACCGTCACTGCTTCAAACCACTGTGTTCTTCCATTCGACTACCTGTTCTTTTATATGTCTCTGTCAGAATCAGCATCCAGGATGAAAAAACGCCACCCATATTCAAGGATTTCTGATAGCATAACTTTTGATGGGAATGATGTGTACGTTGATGGCTATGATGTGTACCTGGGTGAAGCGAAGGCGGGTAAATGTGTGCCCAGATAGTCTTTTAAGTCAGCTCGAGAACAATAGGTCTTTATTATTGTTTTAGGCGACTCCCTTAAAGCGAATCTGTCAGGGAATGAGAAACTGACGAGGTTTCCAGTGTGCAAGTACAAACAGAGCTTCCTTTTCTCGTTATCTTAGACGTCAAAATGTGAGACAGTGAAGGAAATTAACATTCCAAAAAAGATTAAATAAGAACGAGAGTTAAAAATAAGTTCAAATGGAT